TCCGCAGGGAAACAAAGCTGTGATGAAAAAGATCAATGTCAGTAAACTGAGGAACCCTAACACAGCAGCTTCATTAGCAGAAGATCTTGACAACCAACTCTCAGAGCCGCAATTAGGAAAATTCTGAGAAGGACTGGGAACACTTCCGGGATATTGTGCACTCTTCTGCAGTAAAGGTGCTTGGACCCTCACACAGGAAACAGCAGGACTGGTTTGATGAAAATGATGAAGAGATCAAGGCCTTACTTGCTGAAAAGCACCGCCTTCACCGTGCTCATCAGAACAACCCGTTGTCAACAGCTAAGAAAATGCCTTCAACAACGCTCGCAGGACCGTACAGAGCAAGCTTCGCAAGATGCAGGACTCCTGCTTGAGTGCCAAAGCAGATGAAATCCAGAAGTTTGCTGATAGAAACGATGCCAAACGGTTCTACAAAGCCTTCAGATCCTTGTACGGACCTCAGCCCTCAGGGAGCTCCCCTCTACTGGATTCAGATGATGCAACTCTCATTATTGAGAAGACTATGATTCTGCAGCGTTGGGCTGAGCACTTCCAATCTGTACTGAACTGCCCATCCTCCATCAATAACGAGGAGATTGACAGAATGCCCCAGGCGGGTATCAACCACAGCCTGGACGTCCCACCATCAAAAGACTGAAACCCTACAGGCCATCAGCCAGCTGTCCAATGGCAAGGCCCCAGGATCTGACGTGATCCCAGCGGAAGTCTATAAGGAAGGTGGTACAGTGCTTGTCGACAAACTCACTCAGCTGTTCCAGTCCTTCTAGAGTCAAGGATCCATTCCTCAGGAACTGAAAGACGCATCCATCGTACACCTCTACAAGAGGAAAGGAAATCGACAAGTCTGTGATAATCATAGAGGAATATCACTGCTCTCCATCGCAGGCAAGATCCTTGCACATGTGTTGCTGAATCGCCTGATTGACCACCTGGAACAGGGTCTACTACCCGAGACACAGTGTGGCTTCCGCAAAGAGCGTGGCACTGTGGACATGATCTTCGCAGCCCGACAGCTCCGAAAGAAGTGTCAAGAGCAGAATCGTGTACTGTACACCATCTTTGTGGATCTCACCAAGGCTTTTGAAACTGTGAGTCGCGAAGGTCTGTGGCACATCATGTCAAAGTTTGGGTGCCCTGACAGATTCATCCTGATGGTACGTCAGTTCCACGACGGCATGACAGCTCGTGTTTTGGACGACGGAGAAGCTTCAAAGGCCTTTCCCGTCACAAACGGTGTCAAGCAACAGTGCGTGCTGGCACTGACGCTGTTCAGCATAATGTTTTCAGCCATGCTGACAGATGCCTTTCAGAACAATTCCTTGGGAGTCAGCCTGAAATACAGGACCGATGGAAAACTGTTCAACCTGCGAAGACTCCAAGCTGTCACCAAGATAAAGTAGACTGTGCTACAAGACCTCCTTTTTGCTGATGACTGTGCCCTGAATGCTGGATCAGAGCAGGAAATGCAAATCAGCATCGACAAATTTGCAGCAGCATGCGACAACTTTGGCCTCCCCATCAACACAGAGAAAACCAAAGTGATGCATCAGCCAGCTCCGAAAGCCCAACATGAAGAGCCCACCATCACAGTGAAGGGACAAAAGGTGCAAACAGTGGACCAATTTACATACCTTGGCAGCACCCTTTCCCGCACAGTAACAATTGACATAGAGGTCAACTGCAGAATCGCCAAGGCAAGCTCTGCATTCGGCAGACTGCTGACCAAAGTGTGGGACCACTGTGGAATAAGCCTTGCTACAAAGCTTAAAGTCTACCGAGCAGTAGTGCTAACTACCCTCATGTATGCCAGTGAGACTTGGACAGTATACAGGAGGCACGCTAGGCAACTGAACCACTTCCACACAACTTGCCTCTGCAGACTGTTGAGGATCCGGTGGCAGGACAAGGTGCCAGACACAGAAGTCCTCTCCAGAGCAGGCCTGCTGTCAGTTCACACCCCGCTGATGAAAGCCCAGACACGCTGGGCAGGCCATGTTGCAAGGATGCCAGACTACCACATCCCCAAACAGCTCTTCTATGGTGAGCTGTCTCAAGGAAAGTGATCACACGGGGGACAAAAGAAGCAATACAAAGACACGCTGAAAGCCTCTCTCAAGTCCCTGGTTATCGACACCACCTCCTGGGAGACCCTGGCACGAGACCAATCGACATGGCGCACACTGATCCACCAAGGCTGCCAAACATCTGAAGGCAGCAGTTCAACCATAGCACAAGAGAAGCAAGCACTCTGTAAAGCCAGAGTTGCAAGTGTTGCAACAGTGGTGCCCACACATGTCTGCCCAACATGTGGCAGAACACTCCGTGCCCGTATTGGCCTTATCAGCCACTGTGGACACACCGTGGACAGCTCACAACCCGTTAGATGTCAAGGTCCTCATCGAAAACGATGGATGAACATCAAATCCTGGAACGTCCATATTTGATAAGGATCAATGGAGATGGAATATTAAACAGTAACTTACTACCAGGTGCAAACTTAATTATAGCAAATAGTTGGAAAGTAAAGTTGATTATTAATTGATTGGTACAGAGAATTTTGAAGTATAATTAATGATAAGTTAACATGTGATATTAAAGTGAAAAGGTGCTTTACAAATAATAGTTTTGATTATATTTGGGGACCACTTGTTAAGTATGTACTAATAAAAGGGAAGGGGTTTGAATCTTCACAAGATTTATTGCAATTTAGAAAGGGGAAAGGGGCTTCCTGAAATGGTATACGATTTAATAAGTGCCTAATGGTCCTGATATTGGGTACACTTTTCTTCTTATGGCTTAGTATAATTTAGCTGTGTATTTATTTGTTTCATTTTATGAAAATAAAAATATATATTAGATAAGTGTGGAGCATCCTCGCCGATCCCAGGAACTCCATTGTTAGCCTCTGGATTTGGGCCTCAGAACTAGGGTGCATGGGGTAGGTTGAAAGCAAACATCATTCGTGGCATTGTACCACATCACAGATCACGGAGCATGTCAGTTGACATATCAGCCCTAGGCTGCAAGTTCTCAGCTTTCTGGAGCTGAAAGCCTTTTTCGTTCGCTGAATTTATAATGATTTGGGAACAACCACCCACTTTTCCAAAGGGTGTAAAAATCTGATGTCCCTCAGCTGAGTTTCCTCCCTTTTAATTCACAGCATATAGAGCAACACTTCCCCCCTGTACAGTTGACTTGCTCTTTACCCACATTTATTTATTTATTTATTTATTTATTTATTTATAATATTTAAACCCCGCTCTATACGCAAAAGCGTCTCAGGGCAGCTTACAAAAATCAAAACAAACAATCCAACAATTAACAATAATTAAAAATGTACATAAAACCACCAATAACATTTTACAAACGGGAACAAAATCAAAACAGAATCAAAAGCAAAAACAAGCAAAATCAAAATGTGACTGTGAAAAAGTTAAAACCAGATTAAATTTCCTAACATTTAAAATGCTGGGCAAATGAAAAGGTTTTCACCTGATGCTGAAAAGAATATAAAATTGGCACCAGGCGAACCTCTCTGGGGAGCGCATTCTTACTCCACTTCATTAGTTGCTGTTCACAGGACCAAGGAAACACACAAGAGTATGTGGCATTCCTACGCCTACCTCTCCGTTGATGCATGAGGGGAAACAGTTTCCCAGATCCAGGACCATAGAGTTCTTTTACAGAATTTGTAGGGATATCAGGACATGTGATATGATCAGGACTACAAAGAATATGAATAGGACTTCAACGTACAAAAATGCATCTCAAAATGTGGTGTATGTGTGTTATCAGTCAGAGATGGATACTTAACACTCAGAAATTACATTAACACTTCAAGTTTCTAAATTGCACTGGCTATATTCATTTCCCTCTCCAATGTATAAATTACTAGTTCTATTTATTATTATTGCATTGCTGTTTGAGGACGTGCATTTCTTCACTTCTGTACAACATAAATTGCAATAGCACAAATGATAACTGCAGCAGTACAAGCTATGATTCCAGCTAGGGTGTTTAACACATGATTGCTGTTTAATTTATTAGGGGCTGTTGTGGGCAGTGAGGAAAGAAGCACTACTGCTCTTGCTATGTTAGATACTTCACCAACATTGCTGCTGTTATCAATGGCTCGAATGGCAAAGTAGATTAAGGCACCATTTTCCTTTTCAAAGATTTCTGGGTTACACTTAAAGGATTGTTTCACTCTCACAGATGCAGGCATGAGTCCAGAAGTGTTCATAGAGATGGCATCAGGAAATGTAGCATCTCTTAACTGCAAGGGATTTTCACTCATTTTTATTTCATATTTTTCAGCTGCGAAATCAGAAACAAACAGCACATTAGAAATTAAGGTGCCCAGCCCAGAAACAAAACTAAGGCTGGCCCAGATCCCTCTCAGCAGATTTCACACTTCGGGTTGGCCCAAGGCCCAAACAGGTTCCCACCGACAAGATTCCCCTGCAGGTCAGCATGGTGACCTGCTTGTTTGCCCGTCTCTGACTCTGGTTCAGGCAGCAGTGCAGGGGAGGAGCAGCAGTGGGGGCAGCAGATGCCCCTGCCTGCTCTCCCACGCGTACACCCTTTCTGCATGCCAGGCATACAAATGGTGGCCGTATTGTGCATGAGGAGGCGCAGGAGTGGCGGTTTTGAGTGGCACTGACAAAGGATGCTCCCAGAGGAAGGGATGCCAAGGGAGCCAGCCTTTGTGGGTAGCGAGCAACTTGTTGCCTGCCCCACTCAGGACAAGGGCTATTGCCAGGCCTGCTCGTGTGGAGGGTGGGCCTCCTCTCTCCATTGCAACAAGGTAATGCTATTATAACAGGCTTCAGGGAGAGAGTGCTGCTGAAGATGAAGCAGGTGCCTAACCCTTTCAGTTATGTAAGCTGTTTTTCTGATTGGTCTACCTGCGGTGGAATGTTGGATAACTGCATGCAATTAGTAAGCATCCTCTGCTCAGCTCAGAGCTTAGCACTTACCCTGTCCTAGATCGTAGTCATTCCCAGGGGCTGTCCATGATAGAAGGAACTGATCGTCGTCATTGAGCTGCACCTCCAGGTCAGTGATTTGGCAGGGTGGGAAGACATCTGTGGGGACATCTGGAACTCCTGACATGACAAAAGAACCCCCTGATGCAGTCCTGCTGAATCTTCCCAGATGGGCTTCTGTGTCATTCACACTTGGCTCTGGTCTTGGTGGATTCATTTTTATTTCACCTGTGCAATAGGATTTATGATAAGACGGGTCACAGCATGTAACAACAAACCCCCAAACTTTCTTCTTGTCCTGCTGGTCTATACTGAGACAAATATGCAATCATCATTGTTTCCCTTGCTGATCTGGAGTATGAGTTTCTCCTTTTCCTATGTTTATATTCAACTGCAGCTTCTGCATTTCTTCATTTGGTTTAAGGTATGAGCTTTGCACAGTTGGTATCCAGATATAATTCTGTTTGTTTGATCTCTTCTGCAGTCCAATAGGCAGAAAGCTGAAGCACTTGCTTTCCCTCTTATTTATTCTTTCCCATTATTCTTATTAGGTCATGGTCCCAAATGAAAAAAATTTGTAGTGTCTTCACCACCACCACCTTCATTATTTCCAAAGTGGGAAGGAGAGAGGAAAATAAACAACAGCAGCTCTTGGGGCCCTTCAGAAGAGTGAGGACTTGGCCGGGATGCAGTCCTGGAAACTGCTTGTGCTACTGCTGCAGGAAAAAAAGGAGAACGGGAGCGTCAGTGCCACAAGTGGAGGGAGGATAGAAACTAGAGATGGTGGTGGCATGGGAAGTAAAAGGAGGGCATGTCATGCTGTCTGTGTATCTGAAGGAAAGAAGGGAAAAGAGGAGCAGCATCTGGGGGAGGAAGCAGTTCCACCAGCAGATTGCATTCTGCTGGCAGATGGTCAGTATGGTGATGCCTCGTAGTTCAAACAACTCTAACTTTGAACGATCCAGAGTTCGAAGGTTAGAGTCGAGATAAAATCTCTTTGAAGTTCAAATGACACTTCTAAGTTGGAACTGCAGGCACAGTGAAAAAGTGGTTGCTGCGTAAATGTCATCACTTCTGCGCCCAAGCTCATTCCCATCGCATCTGTGCCTTTTCACTGCATGCCTTTTTAATCTTTTCAGTGCCTTTACAATACTTTTCTGCTTCACCACTCCTCACTAAAAATTTCAGACAATAAATGCAGTTTTCATTTTAGTATACAGTACTGTACTGTGACAAAATGTGATCCGCTGGAGAAGGAAATGACAATCCACTCCAGTATCTTTGCCATGAAAACCCCATGGACAGTACTAAAAGGCAAAAGGATATGATGCCGGAAGATGAGCCCCTCAGGTCGGAAGGTGTCCAATATGCTACTGGGGAAGAGCAGAGGGCTAGTACTAGTAGCGCCAGAAAGAAGGAAGCGACTCGGTCAAAGCCGAAAGGACACTCAGTTGAAGATGTATCTGGTGGTGAAAGGAAAGTCCGATGCTGCAAAGATCCATAGGAACCTGGAATATAAGATCCATGAATCAAGGCAAGCTGGATGTGGTCAAACAAGTGATGACAAGACTGAACATCGACATCTCAGGAATCAGTGAACTAAAATGGACAGGAATGGGTGAATTTAATTCAGATGACCATCAGGTATATTACTGCGGGCAAGAATCCCTCAGAAGAAATGGAGTAGCCTTCATAGTCAATAAAAGAGTAGGAAGAGCAGTACTGGGATACAATCTCCAAAATGACAGAATGATCTCAGTTCGAATCCAAGGCAAACCATTCAACATCACAGTAGTCCAAGTCTATGACCCAACCACTCGTGCTGAAGAGGCTGAAGTTGACCAGTTCTATGAAGGCCTAAAAGACCTTCTAGAATTAACTCCAAAAAATGATGTCCTTATCGTCAAGGGGGATTGGAATGCTAAAGTAGGAAGCCAAAAGATAACAGGCAAGTTTGGCCTTGGAGTACAAAATGAAGCAGGGCACAGGCTGGTAGAATTTTGACAAGAGAATATGATGGTCATAGCGAACACTCTTTTCCAACAACCCAAGAGACGACTCTACACATAGCCATCACCAGACGGTCAACACAGAAATCAGATTGACTATGTGCTCTGCAGCCAAAGATGGAGAAGCTCTATACTGTCAGTAAAAACTAGACCAGGAGCTGACTGTGGCTCAGATCAAGAGCTTCTTGTTTCAAAATTAGGCTTAAATTGAAGAAAGTAGGGAAAAGCACTAGGCCACTCAGGTATGACTGAAATCATATCCCTGATGAATATACAGTAGAGGTGACAAATAGATTTAAGGAATTAGATCTGATAGACAGAGTACCTGAAGAACTATGGATGGAGGTTCGCAACATTGTACGAGAGGTAGCAACTAAAACCATCCCAAAGAAAAAGAAATGCAAGAAAGCAAAATGGCTGTGGAGGTGACAGTATGCCAGCTGAGCTATTCAAAATCTTAAAAGATGATGCAGTAAAAGTGCTACACTCAATATGCCAGCAAACTTGGAAACTCAACAGTGGCCACAGGATTGGAAAAGGTCAGTTTACATTCCGATCCCAAAGAAGGGCAATGCCAAAGAATGTTCAAACTACCGCACCATTGCACTCATTTCACATGCTAGCAAAGTTATGCTCAAAATCCTACAAGCTAGGCTCCAGCAGTATGTGGACTAAGAACTACCAGAAGTACAGGGAGGATTTTGAAGAGGGAGAGGAACTAGAGATCAAATTGCCAGCATACGCTGGATCATGGAGAAAGCTAGGGAGTTCTAGAAGAACATCTACTTCTGCTTCATTGACTATGTGAAAGCCTTTGATTGTGTGGATGACAACAAATTGTGGCAAGTTCTTAAAGAGACAGGCATACCAGACCATCTTATTTGTCTCTTGAGAAACCTATATGCAGGTCAAGAAGCAACAGTGAGAACTGGACACGGAACCACCGATTGGTTCAAAATAGAGAAAGGAGTTCAGCAAGGCTGTATACTGTCGCCCTGCCTATTTAACTTATATGCAGAGTACATCATGAGAAAGGCGGGGCTAGATGAATCACCAGTTGGAATTAAGATTGCTGGGAGAAATATCAACAACCTCAGATATGCAGATGATACCACCCTCATGGCAGAAAGTGAAGAGGAACTAAACAGTCTCTTGATGCAGGTGAAGGAGGAGAGCGCAAAAGTTGGCTTGAAACTCAACCTTAAGAAAACTAAAATCATGGCTTCTGGTCCTCTCACTTCCTGGTAAATAGATGGGGAAGAAATGGAGGTAGTGACAGATTTTATTTTCCTGGGCTCCAAGATCACCGCAGACGGGGACTGCAGCCAAGAAATTAAAAGACGCTTGCTCCTGGGGAGGAAAGCTATGGCAAATCTAGACAGCATACTAAAAAGCAGAGACATCACCCTGCCAACAAAAGTGTGTATAGTCAAGGCAATGGTTTTCCCAGTTGCAATGTATGGCTGTGAAAGTTGGACCATAAAGAAGGCTGTGCGCCGAAGAATTGAGGCTTTTGAATTGTGGTGCTGGAGGAGTCCCTTGGACTGCAAGGCGATCAAACCGGTCAGTCCTAGAGGAGATTAACCCTGACTGCTCTTTAGAAGGCCAGATACTGAAGATGAAACTCAAATACTTTGGCCACCTAATGAGAAGGAAGGACTCCCTGGAGAAGAGCCTAATGTTGGGAACGATAGATGGCAAAAGAAGAAGGGGACGGCAGAGGATGAGGTGGCT